CGTAATTAGCTATTCTACTTGCGAGGTGACTCTAGTCCTCCTTCCCTCGGGCTGATGTTCGTCAGGTTGGGGAAGCCTTGGGCAAGCCGCAGGTCGACCCTTCCTCTTCGTGTGAAAGAAGGGCTCCGGTTACCTGGCAGGCGGTTGGGATTCCGGGCTAGTCCGGGTTCCGATGAAAATCCCGCGGCGGAGCGATCTGACCGACTCGAGTACTTTTCCCTTTCTTCTTCGGAGCCCAGCGGGTTCCTTGCACCACACTTGAAATGCTTGAAGGAACCTCATATGAAAAAACGGGTAATCAAGAAGGAACAATCCTTCCCTATAAACGGACACACAAACAAAGATAAGGGAATGAAGGGAGTTGCTAGACTCTAAAGAAAACTAGCTCACCTTTGAAGATGCTCACGAGAAGGAACCGGACACTGTGTATGGAAATTAGGGGTGAGTGGCACACACGGTCCTGAGAGAAGAACTGTAAGCTATGGGTAGGAATCGCTGGGTGCACCAAGGGAAAGGCACTTGTATTATGTGTGTCCCACTTGGGACTTGTGCTTGCATGATGGGGATTCGAGCGTCCTGCCTTTCGAAAGGAAAGGATTGGTCTGCACCGACCGGTGCGGGTTGCAAAAAATCGTTCTCTTTGAAGTTCGTCGGGTTCCGTGCGTGGGGGTCGAGCCACTGGGCTGTCAGGCAGGAGTTGGTCTCGTCGGCTGGTTAGTAACATTCTGACCCGAGCGGTCCGAGCATGGCTCGATGACCTTGCCCAGGCGGGGTGTGAAACGCCTTCAGGCGGGGCGGTTGATTGTCGGCAGACGGCAGGGGGACCACTGCGTAGAGGACAAGGAGGGAGCCTAAGAGGCGATTAGTAGCTTCTCGTAGCTTGGTTTGGGAAAGGTTGATTCTTGTCGGACCGATGGAAGTGAATGCCCGGACGGATGACTTTTGCCCCTGTATTTAGGCACACGGGGCAACCCTCAGTGTCGGTATGGATGTGCAAAAGCGGCAATACGGGATGGGGTATTCTGAGTACAAGGAAAGGGCTAACGCCTTGCCGGAGCCTGGGTACCACATTCGCGACGGTTGATCTGTGCTTGAGGTACGGGATAAAACTCTGCCGAAAGTAACAGTGAAGAAACCACTTTTGGGGAAAGACCGGTGAGGAGATGACCGGTCTGTGTGCGAAGCTTGCCTGAATTTCTTCTTTTGTGTCTCCCTCTGTAAAGTTTGCTTGAGGATGTTGGGAGGGGAACTGAGTTCTAAGTCTATTCTCGCCCCCTGTCTAAGTCTGCACGAGTGAGAGAAGATGTGAGTAAGCATGGATAGGAGTCGGAAGGAAAGGAACCAAGAGAAAGGAATGCCGGTTGGTGATGACCGATTGGGAGTACAATAGGGACAATTGTGCCGGGAAAATGGGCAGGGAAAATTAGGGGACCCGGGTGAGGGGTCTGAAACAATTCTCATCTAGACAGGGAGACAGTCTGACCAAGAGGGGGCCGTGTGGTGCTCTCTTATGAAAACAGGACCAGGGCCGGAAAACGGAATGGCGCGGTGGTTCTCGTTTCCTACCTATTCTAGTAGTCCAGAAATGCCAATAGACGTAAAGGAGGGGGTATCTGTCGTCCTCCCAGAAGAAGGAACGTGGACAGACCTGGAGCCAGGCTACCAAACTAAGATGCTGGATGAAAAGAACGCGTTCCTCTGGATAGAGATAATCTGGACCAAGGCCAGTCTGACGAGACTATCGCCAAGTTTGATGGACTTAGAATTTCGGGGAACAGTGGAAGCTCGCGGGTGGGTCTACCTATCCCAGGAGATGGAAAATGTAGTGGTAATAGGATTAGTACTGGGAACGGCGTCGGACCAGCTGTTTAGACAGGCAGAATGAGAAGTGGTATGGGCGGCATGTCAACGGGCGAAAATGGAAATGGACGAAGTAGAGGTGCGAGTGGAGCTCGGGGATAGGGGGAACGTGAGACGACCTCTTAGGACGATGAGGTGCGTGCTACCTCCATTTCTGGTGAACGCGGTCTTCGGAACCCGGGATAGATTGGAACAAATATGACAGTCAATGACAAACTTGAGGTTGTACCAGTGTGCCCAGCAGGACTTCTTTAAACTGTCGGTAGAAAGGGGGCCGTTCGGAGGGAACTGGGCGGAAGAATTAGCAGAGGTATTGAACCTCCTCACTACGGATGATGTCTTTGTTCCTAGCTCAGTGTATTGATAGATAGTCTATCGAAATGTGGCGGTGGGAGAGACCTTCCTAGAAGGGCTGAAGGACTTGTTCTTTGACGGGGAGGATGATTTCAATGATGACGAGGACAACGATGAGATAGAGGATTGGGACTTTTGAGAGGGGACTTACCCGGGGAATGGGCTGGCGGCAATGTGCAGATAGGGAACGATGGCCCGGGAGCTCCAGCGAAGGGACTGCACGTTCGAAGGACGGGAGCCAAGACGAGTCAAAGGGGGAATAGAAATGTCCATACCGACAGATAGAGAATGGAGAGGGACCACGTGTGACTGGGTAGGACTTGAAATTGTATCAGAACTGTCGTGCCTATTGATAGAACGTATCTGAAACCCGCTAAGGGAAGAGGATGGATGGGAGGAGATCGCGGAAGGAAGGGTGGAATCAGGCGGGACGATCGTCCTCTCCGAGCAGGGGTGACACTTGTTCTGCACGATGCTCGAAGCAGGACAGAACCCGATGTGGCTCCTAGGGGACACCGAGGCAAGGGCTCGACGGGCAGCGGAGAAGTTTGCTAACAAAGGATGAGATATGGTCAGTAGTAAGGTCGTGATGGGGGGATGGAAGGAGTTTAGACCCCCCTGCCTACAAGTCAAGACCTGGGTGCCCGAGTTCGTGGTTGACTGGTTTGGGGGTTTCGACCACGTCACGGAAGTGGCTAGCACTATGGAGCGTGTACACGTAAATTGTGCATGGCTGACAGAAGAATTTTACAAAACATCACTGAAGTTTGGGCCCTTCCACGGCGACAGAGCCCGGGAGGTCCTCATCATTTTGGACATTGAAAGGAACGATCGGTTAGACGTAGCCCCGGAGATTAGGGATGCTATAATCCGCCGGGAGGTAGCGGCGATGCCTTGCTATGTGGATGTTGTGTTTAAATTGTTCGAAGTACTGTGGTTTGATTAAAGAACATGAGAAATCCGTGTTAATAGGGTGAGTTAGGGTATAAAGGGAGAAAAGAAAGAAAAGAGGAAAAAAATTAGGGGGAAGCGTAAGTGAGAGGGCATGTGTACTATGCGGGCCAGCCAGGTATGAAAATGTTGAGACAAGGGATGGGATGTCTGGCCATTGTAGGGATCATTGCGGCCTGCAGACTAGAAGACCAAGGACAGGCATGCGATGTCGCGAAGGATGACATTCCTCAAGGATCGCCCGTTGGGCATTGAGCCGCCAAGGGTTGTGACTAGTGGGGTAGAAATTAGCCTGCCCGCCGCAAGCGAGGGATGGCACCCGGTGGTGGACTGGGTCGGGGTTGAACTCATGGAAAACACGGTCTACTTAGTGACGAGAATTGAGGGGCGTGCGGATGAAAACGAGGAATGGAACCCGGACCCACGGGGACACGTGCGTGAGGAAGGTTGGTTATATGCGTCCGAGGACGGGTGGCGGGCGTTCGGAGTCCTGTTAGCATCAGGAGAAGATCCGTTAAGTATGTTCGAGGGAGCATGGCAACTAGTGTGGCAGGCGGGGTTCAAATTCGCAGACCCAGAACTTGATGACGTGACAGATCACCTTAGAGTAGCCATGGTCGGAAGCTTCGAGCTGCCTAGTGAAAACGTTCGGATGAGATTGCCGCCCTTTTTGCTAGAAAGGTTACGCGGGGTGGAGCTTGTCAGGAGGGTTGTGGCCGACCTCGCCAACCTGACGTTTGAGGACGCGATGGTTCACCGAAAGTATTACCGGGCCTTCCTAGAAATAGGGCCGTTCAAGGGCAAAAAGCCTGGTGGAGTCAACTTTAGTCTGGAACCACTACTTTCGTCCGCAAACAATGGGAATGTTTTACGATGTGTCAGTTAGGCACGGACCGTTTTGGGAAAACCAGGCCCGTGAACTACTCGAACTCATCGAAATTCTGATATTCGGGCTACCACGCATGGCGTTTGAGGAATATGAACCGATAATTATCAGGGAGATAGAAATGGGAGAGAAACTATCTTGCAGGGGTGGCCGATCTGTTTGAAGAACCAAATGAGCGAGATAGACCTGAGGGACCGGCGTGAGGAAAAAAGTACCGAGAAAAAGTCAAAGGGGGAAAACCGGAATGTGAAGCTAGCCGTCAGCAAGGGAGTAATGGTCAGAGTTCCGCCCTACCTGAGGTCGTGGCAGGAGGGAACTGGGAAGACCACCTGCGCTGAAGGACGTTGGGGGATCCGGGTGTCAGGAAGTCAAAAGGACTACCCTCGAGGGGAGAGCCACTAGCCTTAAGACACCGCCCTAAGGAACCACGGCACGACAGTGACAAAATGCCAAACCTCGGCAGCGAACCTTCCCACAGAAGAAAGACAGAACGGCGCCCTGTAGGAAATTGTCAGGTAGGTCGTCCCGACAAAAATAAGACGGCAAAACATGAAAATAAGTATGAATAAGGGGACCTTAGGGCCCGGAAACTAGGGAAGCCATGAACAACTGGCCGTTTCGCAAAAAACAAATTTCCATGTGCAGGGTAGGTAAAGGGATGGCATCAGAAGAGGAGGCCGAAGGGTTGCGGAACAAGGGGAGTCAGGGCACGGATAGAGGCGGGGAACGAAATGAAGGGTCGGTTAGGGATCGAGAGTCGACAAAACCAGAGGGGACCAGGGAAGACAGGAAGGACCACTCGACAGGGGAAAGTTTGGGGAAAGCCGGGGGAAGCAAAAGAGGACCCCAGCAAAGCAGGGAAAAAGGGGACAACGGCAAGACGAGTCCTCGAAATTCTGACGGAACCACACCCAAGAAAACGAAAGTCTCGGATGCACGTCGTTAGCTAGCAGAAATAGAAAAACGGACCGCAGAATATAAGGCAAGGCTTATCGAGGAGATGATGGCTGGGAACGAAGGAGACCTTTTGGGAGAAGGGTCACGAGAAGAACGCAGGGTCAGTCAGGGCGAAGTCAGGCTCGGAGGGAAGGACAATAGCCATAGGGGCACACCCAGTAAGAAGGGTAAGGAAAAGGGGGAGTCCCCAGTCGTAGAGGCGGAAAAGGCAACGACCCCACCTGCCATAGACAGTGGTACCAGCCGTTTGCCCGCCACGCCGAAAGCAACCAAGGCGTGCGATGGACTTTGGAGTCTCAGGGAAAGGATGTTAGGATGGTTTGATCCAGAGGGTACGCCAAAGGCCAGGGAAAAGCATAGGGATACCAAGGAAGGAGAAGGGGCCAGTTCGGTCGGCGAAACAGAGAGCTCTGAAGGGGGCCTCAAGAAGATAGTAGTCACCCTCACTCGGGCGCTGAATAAGAATCAGGGGTATCTTGCGGATGCCAAGAAGAAACTTGCTTTCGACGGGGCAAACATTACGGAGTTCCTAATTGACTACGAGAACCTGGCGGCCTTGCTGAAATGGATTGAGGAAGAAAAGATGGATCACTTAGGACAGCACGTGTCGCTGAGCTTAGGGAGGGACATTATGGCTATTGTCGCCTCTAGTGGATCCTGGAAAGAGACCCGCAATGAGATGATGAGAAAGTACCTGCAGACAGAGAAAATGGCAACAGAAGCCGAGTTGGCAGTAGTCCAAACGAAGAACTATGCGACTTACAACGACTTCCTAAGGGCGTTTACTCTAGTGACATTACGAATTTCCGGGTTAACAGACCGTATAATGAGTAAGTACTTCCTCAGACAGTTCTTAGCAGACCTCGCAAAAAAGACAGTAGTGACCGAGACACTAGCCCTGCTCAAGGAAGGCGAGGTTATAGACTTGACTGGAAAAAAGGGGGATAAGGTCAAAAAGGGGATAGAAAGCCTGCACGAACGGGTACACGGGGTTGATAACAAGATAGAAAGAGTGGAAAATACGCTATTAGTAATGCCGGCGCAGGTGTCCCGACCCGCCCTCCCGCCCCAAGAGGTCGTAGTTCTGGCGGCAGTAGCAAATCGAGGGTACGGCAGAAGGGATCCGGCCAATGAGCAATGCAAGTATTGCGCAATGGTCGGATATTTCGTACGGACCTGCCCAAGACTCAACCATGATATCATGAGGCAGAGATGCAACAGGTCCCTCAAAGGTGAAATTTTTGGGCCTCAAGGAGAGCGCATAAATTGGAATTCGCCAGGAGGAATGCGGCGTGTCGTCATCCTCCTGAACAATCTGGATATAGCTGTCGTAGAAGCTGAGCTGGTAGCTGACATTGCTTGGGATCAGCCGAGGGGGCGCGGACCACAGGTGAATTTCATCCTAGAAGGTAATGGGCAAGATAGGGTGAACATCACCACCCGTCGGGCAGGGGCAGAAAAGAAACTTATTAGAGATATGGTAATGGAAAAGGTCGTGGAACTAGCGCAGATCAAGGTGAAACTGAAACCGGGGAACAGGAGAAGGTTTTTGGAAAGACAAGGGAAGAGGAGCCGATAGACAAAGCCGTGGCGACAAAGAAGAAGTTCAGGTACCAAATCCCAATCCTGACCTTGCCAGAAATCGATGATACTCTTAGCAAACTGCTAGGTACCATGGTATATGTATCCTTTCAGACCATGCTGCAGGTAAGCCCGAGACTGCTTAAAGGACTCAGGCAATTACTAACGCGCCGACGCGTAGAGGTAGAGGAGGCCCCGGAACCACAGGAGCTGGAAACGGAAGAGGCTGAGGCACCACAAGGGATCTCCAACCTCTAGAGGATCCCAGGGGATCTGAAGGACCTGGAAAAAGCCTTTGCAGACATCCGCCTAAGCCTACCGGACCGAGAGGGTAGTGAAGTCATGAGGGCACCACCCGGGACGAAGCTTAGCTTTCATGCACTGCCCATAGGAAAGCTAAGAGTCCAGATCAGAACCCACCACACAGATGCATTAGTAGATGGTCGTGTTGAAATTACCCTCATACGACGAGACTTCGCAACAATTGTGGGCTGCACCGTAAACAAGGAAGTGACGAGGAGTATCCGGGAAGTCGGTGGGGAGATTCCCTTCGCAGGGTATGTTACGAAATGCACAGTCAGGGCGGGGATCAGGGAGTCAATCTGGTCCTTCCAGCGGATGACCGTAATGGAAGAAATGAACCATGACATAATTTTCGGAAGACCATGGTGCGTCAATGTAGAAATGATAGGTATGCATCTGCATGATGGCACATACATGGTAGATATAAAGGACCCCGTGACCGGCCGCGGAGAACTCCTTTGACTCCTTGGGACCGGAGGGGATCCCCCGAAGGGCAAATTGGCAACTTGGTCGCCAACGTTCGAGCATAGTGCGCGGAAAGGGGCATTCGCACGGATGGAAGGTATGAGGGAAATAGTAGAGATCATGATTGAGGAGGCTTTTAGTAAGGAGGAGTGGATCAAGATGGGGCTGCCTCTGAAGAAAAGGCGGCAAGCGGATGAGCTGCTAGGGGTTATGGTGGCAGAGAAGGAGGCGGAAGTCGAGCTTGGGGCCAGCCTGCCAAAATCAAAGGAAGACCGGAAGGAAATGTCGGCGGTAGTACTTGAAGTTCCAGACTTGCTACAGCTCGTTAAGGCTATCAGGTACCACAAAGTGGGAGTGGACTCAGTTGCGCTTGCCAAATTCGAAGATGAGGTCCGAAAAGGTTATTGTCTGAATGAAAAGTTAGTCAGTATCCAGCCCCGCATCATGGAGGTAGCAAGGTCAATCCCGACCGTTCATTTTTTAGGAGAACGATCCCAGAAGGGAGTGTGCGAAAGTACAAACCCGTAGGGAAGAAAGCCAAGCCGGTCTCAATCCTAGTAGAATCATCAAGGAAAGAGGCCATGGAAAATGAGGAAGAAATCCTGCGGATAATAAGGGAGAGGCGAGCAGCGACCGGATACCTGATGAGATAGCGGATACCATGAAGATAGGGGTAGAAGGGTTCCTAACGGCAGAAGAGACTCAGTTGATAAGGAGGGTGTGCCAGAAATTCCACCTAGCCTTCGCCTTCAATGACCACCAAAAAGGTCGATTGGATGCGAAGCTAATTTCCCCCGTTAGGATTCACACGGTGGAACACGAATGCTGGAATGACAAGGGGCCCGCCTACGAGTTCGGAAGAGCTGCGGAAGTCACTGAATTGCTCAGAACCAAGATAGATTCGTTCGTGGCCGAACCCACCGCATCCCCCTACGCGAACAAGTGGTTCTTTTTTCGGAAGTCCAACAAATCGCTCAGATGGATCCAGGACCTGCAGAAGCTGAATAAGGTTACGATCCGGGATGCGGGATCACTTCCACAGGCCGACCTACTGGCAGAGTCTCACGCCAGACGAAGCATTTACTCCCTAAGAGATCTATATTCAGGATATGACCAACTACCGCTCGACGTGAGGGATAGACCGTACACCGCCATGCACACCCCTGTAGGTCAGCTGCAAATGCAAGTGACTCCTATGGGTTTCACAAATGCTGTGGCGGAGGCACAAAGAAGGATGTTTGCGGTCGCAGGGGGCATGTTCCAGGAAAAATGCGAGCCCTACATAGATGACAATCCCATAAAAGGCGCGCAGAACAAGGATGAGACAGAGGTCCAGCCGGGCATACGAAAGTTTGTCTGGGATCATTTACAGGATATCAAGGATCTGCTCCAGCGATTCCTGGTATATAATATCACCGCAAGCAGGCCAAAGAGCATCCTTGCGTTCCCAGAAGTGACTATACTGGGGTTTCGCTGTGGGGCCTATGGAAGGAAACCTGACCCGGAAAAAACGAATAAGATCTCTCAATCGTCAACGCCCCTGCGCACCACGACGGAAGTACGAACCTTCCTAGGGGTGGTTGGATTCTGGAGGATCTTTATCAAAGAGTTTGCAAAAGTAGCCGAGCCTATCCGAGCAATGATTAGGGAAGGAGGGACTATGGAGTGGACCGAGGATAGGAAAGCAGCAGTCCAGACCCTCAAAGACATCCTATCTTCTGATCAAGTTACCTTGGCAGCACCCTGCTTCAATGATGAAGTGGGACGACCCTTTATCTTGGAAACAGACGGAGGACCATTGGCAGTAGGAGGAGTCCTGATACAGAGAAGCGAGGAGGGCAAGGAAAGACCCATCAGATTTGAGAGTAGGACCCTGAAATCGGCAGAACGACGATATTCACAGTTCAGAAAAGAGGTCTTAGCCATCCTGCATTGCCTTAAGACCTTTCAGGCACACCTATTCAAAAGAAGGTTTATTCTGAGAATCGATCCGACCAATGTCGCTGGGGCATTGAAGAACTACAAGCCTATAGACTCGACCATTGGGAGATGGATAGGCTTTATATGGCAATTCGACTACAAGGTCGAGCGAATTGCGGGACTCCGAAACAGGGCAGATGGGGTAAGTCGGGTTTGCATCACGCCGGAGGGAATAGAGGATGCGGAGCCAATTGACGTCTTCCTAGAGTACGAAGGGGGGACCCTTGTCGTAGACAACGAGATGGTAGACGCCGCTCCTACAATGGATCAACTGCTGATTCAGACCCTGGAAAAGGGCGCGTCTGCGGTAGTTGCGGAACTCAAGGAAGGACCAGTCACCACGATTAGGCGTAAAGATGAGAAGGATTCGTGGAGGGCAACGATCGGGCCGAAAGAAGAGCTGATGGTCATTGTCATTGAAGGGGGTCGAGATGCTGTGATGAATCTAGTAGAAACTTGAACGCGAAGAGAACGACAGTATCTAGTGAATCAGGCTCAGGAGGGGCAAGACACCGATCAGAAGGAACGAGAATTCTTCCTTATACAGATGTATGATGACATCTTTAGAGAAATCGATATGCTGCTTATAGGAAACAATCAGCCTATGGAAGTCAGCCTCAAGGCAAGGGAGGAAGCCGAGAAGTATGTTTTGAGGAACGGTCACCTGTTCAAGAAAGAAGAAGGAATGATGTCTAGGCAAGTCGTGTGTGGGAGGTCTAGGCAGTTGGACATAATCCAGACGATGCATGATGGGCTAGCCGGAGGGCACCGGTCGTCCAAAGGGACACTTGCGATAATTGCGCCTCTTTATTTCTGGCCGGGTATGGCAGGCATGGTGGCGATGTACTGTCAAGCGTGTCTGATATGCCAGGAAAGGAGTTCCGCACGTGTTTTCGAGCCCCTAAGACCTACCCGGGTACTGGGGCCGGGGCACCTGGTCCACCTTGACCTTGCGGTCATGCTTGTGTCAACGGACGGATACAGGTACATCTTGGATGCAAGGGATAACCTCAGTGGTTACGTGGAGGCAGTAGCTCTTAAGAGAAAAACGAGAAAGAGAGTGGCCGACTGGGTAGAGGACTTCTACCTAAGGCACCCCTTTGTGCGCAAGTTCATAGCGGATAATGAGACAAAATTTGTAAATCACGAAGTGCTAAGCAGGCTCAAGACGTTGTGCGTGCCTATCAAGATTATTGAGCCATATCACCCTGAGGCCAATGCACCAGTAAAAAAGGGGCACCAGACCTTGAAAAACACAATCGCTAAGTTGGCAGTCGATGACCAGGGGAACTGGGCTCGGTACCTTAAACAGGTCGTCTTCTCAGAGAACATGACGCCAAAGAGGACGACGGGATGCATTCCGGCAGAACTCTGGTATGAGAGGGAGATTGATTTCCCGGTGGAAGCTTTGGTTCCTACCTGGAACAGGCTAGATGACAATCCACACATGTCCACGGAGGAACTGATCGTCGCACGTTGTCGACAGGTCGTTAGAAATGAGGAAGCCTTGGAGGATGTGGTTAAGCGTGTGATGGACAACCGAATGAAGGACAAAGCAAGATGGGACCAGGTCAAGAATATCCGGAAGGAGCCGCTCCAAGTGGGGGAAAGCGTACTAGTTAGGAACTCGGCACTTGAAAGCACATGGTCTGAACAGCTGGGGAAAAGGTTCAAAGGCCCCTACAGGATTGCGAAGCGGGTGAGAGTGGACACTTTTGAACTTGAGGATCTTGATGGTACTAGGATAAAGGGGTCATTTCCGGGACAGAGGCTGGTCAGGTTTTTGAGCAGAGATCCGGTGGAGCAATGGTTACAGGAGGCTCGGGATAAGGAAACAGGGGAATTGACAACTTGAAAGGCAGGCAGCTGGCCATAAGTTCTATACCGCCGCCCTGCGGAAGTGATCATGACTGCAGGGAATTATTCGTTTTTGTGTCTTTTTTCCCTTGGAGCATGGGGTGACTGCTTGGGCCGAATATGAATGCGGTTGGGAGCCTGGGACAATGTACCATAGTTTTTGTGGGGCAATTTTGGGGACTGTTTACAAGGGGAGCTTATGTGATCGGGACAATGTACCAAAGTTTTGGGAAGGGGATAATGGGACTACCGATCATATGGGGCAAGCAAGGGTTCTGGCCAAGCGTGTAAAACTCGCAAATGGGAGTGAAAGAGAGTGTGTGTGCATGAGGGATGTTGTGACTTGTTATGAATGAACAGGACCAGGGAAGGAGAAAGCAACAGGAAAAGACGAAAGATGGAATTTGGAAATGAAAATGACGGCAATGCCATTAACAGGCCTACTGGGGAACAAGCAACAAGACAGGCTGGGGAATCAGCTCCAGGAAAAGGAAGTTGTATGTGGAATTTGACTTCAACTTGGTTGTAAACAGAGGGGGAAGGAAGCAAGGGACCAGGGGGCCCTCTTCCCTGAGAGAGGGGGAACCGATAGTTCTCCCATCTGACAGTGACACTAGTAGTGAGGAGGATGTGAGCCTAGGGAAGAGGCAGAGGATGGAAGAGGAAGAGCCCAACGAGGTCATAGACCTCAGCAGTGAGGAAGAGGATGATGAGGTCACAACACCCACGAGAGAGGTACGGGGAAGGGATGAGGACCCAGGTGAAGAGAAGGACAAATGGATAAGAGAGTTCGGGTCATCTTGCAGTGACTGGTTCGATCAATGGGTCAGTATCATGCGGTATGAGTGGGCGATGAGAGGAAAGGAGAAGCTGAGCAGAGAAGAGGACATAGCGCCAAAAACATTTTTCACAGAAGAGGCGCTCCTACAATTGCAAAGGACAAAGAGAAAGATGCAGCAAGAGATCGACAATCGTGCAAGGGAGGCTCAACACAGGGCAACTGGGCGGTAAAGGGGCAGTAGACACAGCAGGGAGTAGCTAGACAATGGGAAGGATGGGTACCTGAGACTAGCAGAACTGTCATTTTGAGCTTCGCATTTGAATTTTTTTAGGAATAAACTACCATGAGACAACTTTTCATGCAAGGAATGACTAAGGACTGGACAGTTAGTGCTACTTTGCATAAGTAGTTGCTTCTTCAAAAAGGGCGTGAGGGTCAATCCGCTTGGGACTAGGACTATGAAGAGCTGGTTTCGTTTAAAGAGAGCGAAGGGAAGAAGGGGGGGACCAAGATGAGACAAGTCTGTGACGTCACTTTTGCGTTCGAATTTGTCTCCTTTTTTTTGAAAACTGCGACAGAGCTCTTCCTTGAACTAGGGAAGTAAACAGGAAACTAGGTAGCTAATGTTACTTTGCATAAAAACTTGCTCCTTTGAAAATGTGGGGATCGTTGATGGTGGGAGACGAATGAGGAATGATTGACTTTGTTTCGGGAAAGGGCGAGAGCATGTGAATTGTTGAGATTGAAGAAAGTCTATAGCAAATAGTTTTCTTTTGAATGCGCACCCCTGGTCAAATGAATCATGGTATGAGTTTCTGAGAGAGGTTAGGGGACCTATGGGTAAAGAGGCATGAAGAATCCTCTTCCCTAGGAGCCTAATCCAACCGGTCCCGGATAAGTCAAGAGCAACAAGAGGCATGAGAGGGCAGAGAGAGGGAGAAAACAGTGATGGCACACAACCCCTTCGCTATGGTTGAACGACCGGGCGGGCTAGTGCTGCTTGGGGTTGCGAGCCTCAATTCGAGCACTAGACGCTAAGTCGGATGTATGTATGGACATGAGAATGATGATTGGCACGAGACAAAAGATAAAGGCATGCGTAAAACCCAAGAGATGACCACCTTCTAACATCCGAGACAGAGATAGGATCCGTGTCCTCGAGGCCCACCCCCTCGGGCGCTAACAATGGAAATGGATAAGGATGACCCTAACCAGGCTATCCGATGAAAATGGATAAGGATGGCTCTAACCAGGCTGTCCGATGGAAATGGATAAGGATGTCCCTAACCAGGCTGTCCGATTGAAATGGATAAGGATGGCCCTAACCAGGCTGTCCGAAGGAAATAGATAAGAGCTACCCTAACTAGGTTGTTCGGAATGACCCCTGACAAGGCTCATTATTTGGAATTGGCACTGGGGTCCCCTTGCATGATTATCTGAGATGGATGAGATTGAGAAGAGCTGAGCTTTGGCAAGGATATTGGACTCAGCCTTGGAAAGGATATTGGACTCAGCCTTGGAAAAGATATTGGACTCAGCCTTGGAAGAGATATTGGATTGAGCCTTGGAATTGGACTGAGCATTGGAATTGGATTGAACCTTGGAATCGGACTGAGCATTGGAATTGGATTGAGCCTTGGAATCGGACTGAGTATTGGAATTTGACTGAGCATTGGAATTGGATTGAGCTTTGGAATGGGCTTGAGCATTGCACTTGGATTGAGCATTGGAATTGGAATGAGCACTGGAAATTGCATTGCATAAACAGGGACCCTAGGCAACTTGAAATGAACATGGAAATAGCATTGAAATGGATTTCTCTTTTCTTCTAGTCCTTGGCCTCAACAAAGAGGGGGATACCGGTGCTTGCACCGCGACCCCAAGACCTCTATCCCTTAAAGGGAAAAGTCTCAGCACGACCTGTTCCTCTTACAAAGGGATAAGGGTTAAAGGACCAAGACACCTACCACTTGGATCGGTGCGGGACGTTCGGAACTGACCCCGACAATGAGCTCTAGTCGGGGAGTTCAAATTGCGCCTCGTGTTGAGAGCCTAAACGTCAAAGGGTGAGAGAACCAAATGGGCGAGAGAGTCATTCTTATTCTACTCTATTTTGCTACTCTTCAACCACACGCCATACCATAGAGGGGTGGCATGGCCGTTTGGGTCGGACCTCGTCTGCCCGCACTAAGTTGGGAAGCACTGTCCAAGGGGAGAGGCTGGCGAGGTACCGGGTGGAGGCCGCCACCACCACAAGGCATTGATACTGCCCTGCTGAAACGTTACAACCGTTTCGAGACTAATTGCGAGGTCTTCGTAACTGCACTCGCGGACTAATGGAGAGCCCCAACTCTTTTGAAAGGAAGAGGCCGGATCCAGAAAACTACCACTCGGGAGGAACGATTCACGAGGAAAGTTCTTACGGCTAGACGAGGCCCTGGGAGGTTTGGACTGGACCTACCTGCCAGATTTGAGGAAGAACCTCAGTGTTGGTGCTCGCCACGTAATAGAAAAAGGTCGGATCGAGTAGGAGGATGAGGCACCACCCGCTGGGGAGGAACTGATCACTCTTCCTTTTGTGACGCGGATGGGTTTATGTGCCTGACTGCGGTCGGCGGGCCAAAGGTCTGCGTACCTCCGAGTGAGAACGAGTCGCACGATGGGGACATCGTGTTTTGAGTGGGGGGAAGGTGTGCTATCTACCAATGAAAAACGCATGGGAAAGACTTGTACAATTGGTTTTGCATGGGTCTGAGAAAAAGGGGTCTGGCAAGATGCCCAGAACAGAAAAGACTTGTGCAATCGGCTTTGCATGCGCCTGCGAAAAGGGGGTCTGACAAGATGCCCAGAACAGAAAGGACTTGGGTAATTGGCTTTGCATGGACCTATGAAAGGGGTCTGACAAGAGGACAAGAGCAGAAAAGACTTGAGCAAGTGACTTTGTATGAGCTTGAGAAAGGAGTCTGGCAAGATTTGTATGATTGACTTTGCATGGACCCAAGAAAAGGGTTGGCAGGCTAGGAAATGAATGAGTAATTGGTTTGCATGGACCTGAAAAGAAGGATTGACAAGGTGTCTAAAAAAGGGGATGAATTGAGCATGGCATACGGAAAGTTAATTAAGCAAAGGGCGAGAAAGGACAAACAGTGATATGCATGCGAAATTGGCAGGACCGAAGAAAGGTCCGAGTAAAATCACCCGGGGGAAATGCATGTGGATTGGCAAAGCCTGAATCTCGAGGAGGGTGACGGGAAAACATGGATTGCACGGGCCGAAAGACCCGAAGGAAAGAAGTGTTGAAAACATGGATTGCATGGGCCGAAAGACCCGAAGGAATGAAGTATTGAAAACATGGATTGCACTGGCCGAAAGACCCGAAGGAAAGAAGTTTCGAAAACATGGATTGCGTGGGCCGAAGGACCCAAAGGAAAGAGGCATTGAGAATGATAATAACCGAGAATGGACCCGGCAGGCATCCTAAGAGTAATAAATGAGGAGAGAAAAGCCTGAAAACGGTCTGTGATCTTCCACACCCTCCTCCGCCCCAAGTGGGGCGAAAACTAACAGAATGCCCTGAGGAAGGAGCGAGAAAAGAACAAAACGAACCCTGGCAAGTTAACTACCTCTCTTACCATGCCCCCTCTCCCCCTTCGTCTACACCCACAAAACCCTACTAACTATGGATTGGTGCGAGATGAGAACATCGTGAATGAGTGGGGGGAATGTGTCAGGACTGGTGAGTCCCGAATGACTTCCCGTCACTCCAGAGACTGTATATGGCAGATTTGTGCACAACAGAGAAAACCGGAAGCAAGGAGGATGGAGGGATTCAAGGCGTAGGCACAGACACTTGGGATCTAGAGGCTGCCCGGAGTCGTTGGGGCCATGAAACCGCGAGGAAATTAATGGAACGGGAGGCGGCAAAGGACCGCAAGAAAATGGCAAAGGCGACCCTTCCCCCGAAAAAGGAGAAGGACCGCCGAAAGAAGTAATGACGTGAGGCGCGCGCCGCAAGGAGAGAGGAAGGGAGAAGACGACAAGTGAGGTACCGGCGCATGAAGACGTAGCCCAGACCAAGGGGGGCCACCGGGATGCGACGTCGAGAGGGCCAAGGGGGCCACAGGCCAAGTGAGGACCCGCACCCGGGGAAAACGGTGCGCGGGACATGAGAAGACACAAGGGAAGGAGGCTGCCAGGAGGCAGAAAAACGGCAAGAGTGTCAACGGGACCGCCGACGGGACATG